TTTTTTTATATATAGCTAACTACACACGAATATATAACCAACCTCATTTAAATGTAGTTATTTATATTTTTAATTGTACAGATAATAATGAACTATTCGTGAATATAATTCGTATAGTTGACTATTTGTGAAAATAATCATTTATATAGGGAACTATACTTGGATATGTAATTAACTACACAGAGATATATAACTAACTATATTTGATAATTAACTACATATAAAGATAAGTATATTTGGGTACATAGTTAATTACATATATAAATATATAATAGATAGAAATGAAAAGTCTAAATATTTTTGATATTGGTTATTATTATTTTTTCTCTAATAATGTAAAAAAAATATCAATCTTTAATAATTTTTTTGAAAATTAAAGAAAAGTAAATTGATATAAAAAAAAGAATGTAATAAATGAAATAATGATGAAAATGAGAAATGAGAGCATTTACCATAAATATATTAGGAATCTCACATAATTAAAATGTTAGTTACTACAGTATAGTATATTTTATTTTGTGTGATGTTAGATAATTAAATATATGACCAACAACTAATATAGAGCCAAATTTCTCAATCAAAAACCTTTATAAAGACTTTATTCTTAAAGAACATTTAGAAAGATATCCAATTGCATAAAAAAATAGAGAAACCTTCTCCTAAGACCAAGTTCGAGGAAGTCAAAACCATCTGGTTTTGCCTTCGGTTTTGGCTCTGACCAACCATACCAACTTTTCTTTACCCAATTTAGAAGAATCGCAACAAATCCTAACCGCGTTTTGGCTCCGGACCACCGGGTTCCACCCCCGACTGCTTGTCGGCGGGTCTGTCTTCACTCCGGCATGACTCTCTCGACGACCGTCAACGACAACCTCCGACCAATGACTCTCTAGCGACTTCGCCGGCAGCTCTGATTTGGGATGTCGACGAGCAATGCGTTTGGGTTCGTACCATCTTCGACCCAAAGTCCCGCTTGCTCATCTCGCCGGTGTGCTTCTTCGCCGGTGAGACCCAATCCCCTCGGCTCGCTGGATGTGAAACTTACTTCCGGCGACAATCCTCCTCCTTCTGAACGGCGGAGCGTTGACGTTTTCATCTCGGGTCCTCAAAGTCCCCGAAGAACTCTCTCCCTCCGGGGAAGAATTTTACAAACTTCACCGAAAAATCACCGGTTGTCAACTCGTTACTCTCCTTCCATCAGAATGGCTGAACTACGATCTATTCCCCAGACTGATACACGGCGGTCTACAGATCGGAGCTTCTTTTCCTCTGCGGTGGTGATTCCCTTGGAGCTAAAAGTACAGCCGCCGGAGCCTCCCGATCCACCAGACTGTCGGATCCCCCTCTCTCGGCCGTGGGTTGTCCTCCACCGTATCTACTCGGCCCTCCACCACCATCCTCTCCCATCCTCCGTTGGTCGCATCCATATGTTCAAATCCCAGCCTTGCCGTTAGCCTTGGCTTCGGCAAAATATCAGAAGATAATGCTTCCTTTCATCTCCTCCTCGGCAAAAATCTGTTGTTCAGCCGATGTTGAAACCAATCTTACCCTAGCCATCTTGAGTAAGCAGAGATGGTACTCGAAATTGGCTGAGGCCGTCGAGCCACCGTCGCTTTGCCCATCGATTGATATGACTGTCATCACTCAGATCCGACCGAGCTTAACGTCCGACGTCCACCACTCTCCAACAACCGCTCCGACGAGAGCCCGATATATCGCCGCTGACGTGCATGAGCCAACTCCTCGATTTGTGATTGAGAGAGATTTGAGAAATACTCAGTGGGCCTACAGCATAATGGGCCTCATTGGGCCTGCGAAAATGGACTTTCAGTTGGGCAGGCAAAAGCCCAGCAAGAGTAGAAGCCCAACAAAAGCAAAAACCATTACACACAAAGTTATATCCCTGCTGCCGGTTTCAAGCTATGGGCCTCCGAGATGGGTTCGTCTTCAATCTCCCCGGGTTAGGTATCATTCGTGCTCATACTCTCTATTGACCTTAATTTTGGATGTGTTTGACACTTTGTTAGGAATGTTACCGGAACTGTATTCATACGCTCCATCGATCGTACTTCTGGATGTGTATGATACCGTCTTACTTGTCGATTTAGGCATGATGTTACAGAGCTCGTTAAAATTATTGTCCTCCAAATCGAGCCTGGAGAGACCAATACGCCTTCACCGTACTTCATTTTATCACTCGGCGGGACTCATATCTCCACGTATGAGAGGGTCAAAATTTTCTGGATTCTCAAATCCAGTATTTTACTCCCAGTGGAAGAGTTCTTTTCCACCTTCTTCCAGCTCTTTGAGATTGGTCGTATCCTCGTCCCTCTCTCGGAGAGTGGTCGAACCCCCGAGCTTTATGGCGGGACCTCCAAAGTCACAATGTAAAGTGACTAACCTGAGACTCTCCGGCCTTGCCGCGAAGACCCTCATGACGCATCTGAGACATGTCTTGGATCCGCTGTCCATCTTCTACGATGGTATATCTGCTTTAATTTTTGATTGCATTTCAATTATGTTGTATTATTGATGGAGGATGCGTAATTCCTTTCTTTTGTATTCTGATCGTTTAAATGAATGAAAAGCTTGTTGACAAAAAAAAAAGACTTTATTCTTGTTAGTTTGTGAATCATCTCCAAAAGCCTTTTCATATATTAAAAGCACCATGCCATGATATACTTTT